TTAATTAAGAAATGAACAGTATAGATTTTCAGAGGATAATAATAATAATAATTCATATTGTTTTATTGGACATGCAAATAACAAAAATACTAACAGTTATAATGTTGATAATATACAATTGAATATAAAATCTGAAGTTTTTACAACTATAGGACATGAAAGAACCCTCTTCTCAAGAACGACAAGGCGGCTTACATTCGGTCCGTCAAGAGAAGTACAGTAGAACCTCACTTAACGAGCATAATTCTTTCCAGAATCTTACTCGTAATGCGAAACACTCGTTAAGCAAAACAATTTTTCCCATATAAATTAATGTAGAATACGATAATGCGTTCCATGCCGAAAAAATACTCAAAAAATTTTATGTATAACATTTATTCAAAGAAAATTATATATACATTGTTAAGGAGCGTGAATCATCTTCATCTTTTCTTCTGTGCGGAATGAACGAACCTGGAATGCGAATTCGATTTGCAGAAGACAAAAAAAATAATAATAATAATTAGTTTATTATTTATGATATATATATAATTCTTTTTTACTACAAATCTGTCTAGAGACATTTGTTTTTGGAGACGCTTCAAAATTTGGTGAAAATGCGACACAGCATTATCATTAAATAAATTTGTAGCGCACACAGCCACTGCCTTATTAGGGTGATGCCTCTCAATGTACGATGCAACAGTTTCCCATGCTTTCAGCATTTCTCTTATTGTGCCAGAAGACTGTTGCTTTGCTGTTACCTCCTCCTCCTCCTCCTCTGACAAATTCTCCTCCACAACTTCATGCTGTGAAACACAATGCAACTCCAAATCGTGCAAATCATTGATGGAGACCGATTGTATGTGCGTGCTTGATCAGCCACGTTCACACCTCGTTCTCGCTTTTCAATGATTTTACAGTTCATTTCTATGGTTATTTTTATTCCCTTATGGCTGTCTTTTTGCGGCTTTTTCTTTGGGGACATTTTTGCAAGGGTTATTAAACTTTGCACAAAAAATCACAAATAATATGTCTGAACAAAAGTTTGGAAAAACGTGTGATCACTAGCGACACTAAGATGTTAGTAGAATGAGTGCTAAACACAGACTGATATAGCAAGCGCACAATCCGGGACTTCCTCTCTTGTCACTCGTTATGCGAAACGTCGCTTATTAAGAGTCATTTTTTTACAATTTGTTTTGCTCGTTATGCGAATTACTCGTTATGAGAGGTGCTCGTTAAGTGAGGTTCCAATGTATTTCAGTATAATTTAGAACCACTCTTGGTATCTATTCTCTGACCACTGGGAACATACATTCTTAACAATGTCACAGATTAGATTAAAATCATGGGCATTAAATAACCCTTGCACTGCAATCACCTTCAAACTATTGTTCGTAACGTCATAATAAATAAGCAATTTCATTACTTCAGTACAACTTTTTCAAGAAAAACATGGATGAAGAATGAGATCCTTGCTACTACTATAACAAACAAACCTTCACTGTTCACTTAACTCTTTTCCAAAGGCTGTGCCATGGCTCAGGCTGTTAGTCGCCGGCTTCCCACCACGGCGACCCAGGATCGAGCCCAGGTCATGTCATGTGGAACTTGCAGTGGACAAAGTGACACTAGGGCAAGTTTCCTCTGAGTACTTAGGTCTCCCCTGCCAATTCTCATTCCACCAAATGCTTTACATTCATGGTAAAATAGGCCATTTAGTGGCCAATGTACCAAGTGGACTCAGTCTCACCCCACCCCAAGAAACTAACTCTTTTCCAACCATTCTATCTCTAGTTTCATGAAGTCCGAGGTTGTAGAGAACAGAAGCTCTGTAAAGTGTCACATAAGGATATTTAGCTTAAATGCAGTTTCATTAAGATTATTTAAAAAAGCTAAGTTCAAATGTAAAGATGACAGAACAGTTATTCATTTAAAAGATAAATGCTGTACTACACTGTGATAGAAATAACTGAATATCATACATATATTTTTCATAATATTTATCAAATATGAGAAATGTTTCCCTCAGTGCAAGCTCTCGAGTGTACATGCAAGAAAAATTAGTGGGATGCATGTAATTGATGTGCACACATGCATGACTGCGTGAATATTAGTGCAGTGCGATACCTCTGTGTAATCTCCGTGTGGGTGATACTGTGCTCCTGCCGCTGCTCTATCCGCCGGTTCACCAGCCTGCGTGGCCAAGAGGCCGAATGCAAAGCGTACACCAATCAATAATAAAAAAAAAAAAAGAATGCCAATGGCATATTTTATTATGTATCAACACTTTACCCAGATTCTCCAGAAATTAGTCAGCCAAGAGCCATACAAGCTCCAACCTCATACAGTAAGCCTTCAAAAACTACAAGAAGCCAGCATTTCATGGGTTGGTTAACTAGCACTGCATCACCCCATGTGTTTAGCATCTGCAAAATGGTTCACTTTTTAATTAGGATATGAGATGTAAAATATATCGAATGTAGTTATTATATTAACTTAAGTAAGATAATAATTTTGTGGAAAGAATTTTACAGAAACATTTTTCCCACCACCACATTAGAAGTACTTCCAACAGAAGAAAAACTGTTTGTTTGAAAAATGAAGTAACAGGTGCGGCATGCATAACTTAATTCAAGTCATACCTACACTGCACTGTCTATAATTTACAGACTCTTTAAGAAATATATATATATATATATATACTACTACTATTACTACTACTTGGCTGGATATATATATATATCTAGCCAAGTAGTACTTTTCCATGTTCATCTCTCTCCCACGGTGGTGCATTTAATTCCCGCCCCCCCAACATTTAAATTTGTCACTGCATTTAATTTATAATTTTTGCTCCCTTTTTAAAATGCAATATCTCAATCATGTGTTGTTATAAAATTATGGAACACACAGCCTCTGAAAGACCAGACTTCACATATGCTGAATCATTATTTTTCACAGACTATGAAATCATCACTGAAACGTTTATACTACTGGAAACATTGCTGCAACTCAAGTGGCGATGAAAGTTGGATTTATGATTATGACCCAGAAACAAAGCGACAATCATTGCAGTGGAAGAGCCCAAAATCACAAAGAGCAAAAAGTGAACGGCAAGTCGAGAGTTCAACAAAGAACATATTGTTTTTTCGATATGAAGAGCACTGTTTGCCCTGAATTTGTTCCTCCTAACAGTACGGTCAACTCTGACTTTTACTTGTACTGTGACGTTTTGAGATGTTTGAGAGAAAATGTGTGACGAAAAAGACCAAAACTTCAGACCAAACACAATTGGCTCAATCATGATAATGCATCCACCCACACGTCCCTGAAAACCACAATTTGTGACTAATAACAACACGTTATCATTCCCCATCCTCCATACTCAACAGACTTAGGACCCTGCGATTTTGATTTGTTTCCCAAATTGAAAATGAAACTGAAGGGACAACGTTTTGAAACAGTGTTTGACATCCAAAAGGAATCACAAGTGGTACTCAACAGCATTAAGGAAAATTACTTCCACGGTACTTCTGAAGCTTGGAATAAAGTTGGCATCGCTGTATACATTCCCAAGGAAGATTATATGAAGGAGATGGCAACCAAAATTGAGGGAGTTAAAGCAGCATTCTTTTTTGACCTAGTCCAGGAACTTTCCAATAATGTTAAAGGGTCTGACCAAACGAAAGAAAGAATGATCACAGACATACTGTATGCATACATGCATGTACGCAGATATTTAAGAGATAATACAATTCCATAATTAAGAATTAACAGAATCATACCATTTATAAAAAAATGTTTAATGTTATAATTTCAATGTCTACAATCTCTTCTTCTTCTTCTTCTTCTTGAAAAACTGGTGGTTGCAAAAGGATTAGCATATGTACTTTGACGTCTATGGACATGCAAGTAGAGATGAAAGTAGGCTCTGGTTCAGATGCACATACACTTACATGTTGTAGGTTTCAGAATATCCATCACATGCTGCAATCTTTCATTATTCAGCAAAGCTAGCCTGAAGTTCTAAATTCTTTTAAAATATGGTCTTCTGGGTTATGACACCACACAGTATTCTAATTGCTTGTCCATATTTGAAGGAACCTTCTACCTCCATCTTCAGGAGAGATGCGAGATTAAGTCTGGAAGTGGGAGGATTATATAGGAAGGTCACCAATAGGAAGAGGGATACAACAGTGTTGGTAGTGACAGCAACTATCAAAAAACGCAGCGAGAAAGGGGCAACTTTCAAAATATATCTGACAAGGGCACCTTCTTTGAAGAGGACCCTTGTAAGGGACTTTTTTAAGAGGCCAACTTATAGGGTGTTTCTTGAAGAGACCACTATTATTACCTTCGCTGAAAGTTGTCCCTTTTAGGACCCACCCTGAAAGTTCCACCTTTTCAGCATTGTCCATTTTTTTTAAAGCTGCCCTTTTGTAGGGCCTTCCTCCTTGAGAGGTGTGCCTTCTTATGGGCTTTCTTCACAGCCATCTCATTTTAGGTCACCTCACATTCCACATTTATACTGGCCACACTTCCTACATAACCTACATACATCCCAACTAGATTGATTTCAATCCGGAAGATGAAAGCACAGACTGCTCCAAAACTCTGGTAACCATTTAAAATACTACATAATGTTGTAACTCACAAGGCCACAATCTTAATTCTCACTGTCATGAAAACCTCAAATCATAGTTATATTATTTGGACTTTCTAATTCTGAATGAAGTAAAATGCAGTTTGCCACTGACACTTGCTACAGCAGTGGCTATACAAAATAAGTGTGTGATGTTACTACTGAAATTCTTATGAATTCTGAATCATAAGATGAAGACATTAATTATCATGTATTAAATGACATGTTTTGGACTGAAATTATGTCCAATAAATTATAAAAGAATGTTGCAGAGAAGAGAAACTTGATTCATGTAGTCCAATGGATGACAAGATGATCAAAGTGTTAAATTTCCCTTTCAAAAATAATGTCAACTAAGAGCAAATCCATTAGTCAATCAACATTTCATTATAGGGAAAGCTTGTATATTCTTCACAGTTCATACATTTATAACAATATGTGATGCACTAATAATATATTGTTTATACGTGCATATTATTTCATGGTGAGTCAATAAATTATAGACATAAAAAAATTTTAAATGCATACAAACTAATCGCAGCAGGTGGGGACTATCAGAAATATTCTTTACAATGTGCAGAATAATGTGTTCAACATCAACTGAATTCATACCTACTATGGATGAACCATGTTATATCAAGAGATTTAACAGCAATGCACTGTGACCTCCTCCTACGTTGTAAGAGTCAAAGTAATGCAAATCAAATTCTCACTACTGTGTAAGATAACACATCTCCATGTTTCTCATTTGTTCTTTGGTTCATCATAAATGTATACATAAAAGTGAAACAATCATTACACAATTTATAACCCAAGAAGTGTAACATGCACTACTCACACTATTAGGAATGGATTAAATTTAATTTCAGGATCAAGTGACTGCTAATAGAAACAGGAATTCTGTATCTGTTTCAAAAATAAGAAAATAATACTGCCAGCATGTTGAGAAAAAGAGGGAATACTATAAACATGCAGAAGTACTCATAACTTACACCAAGCTAAACACAGCAGGAAACAGTCACTCAATGGATTTCAGATTTTAAACATCCATTATATTGAGATTAAATCGGTGAGTTAATAACAATATTTCCAGCAATTTCAATGTGAGAAAATTATCACGTATAACCTTTTGGTTGTTGCTAACAGCACATATTGTGCATTTGGCTTCAGTCAGTTCAGACGAGTTATCTTGTAGAAGTACAATATGCTTCAACTAGGATTCTTAATGACATATGTGGTCAAACTATTGAATGCACAACAAAATCTTTGTACAATTAATTTTCTGTTTATTCTCTTGTTTACATCAGACTGCACTCATTTTGTGACAATGTAAAAAAGTATGCAAAAATGTAAAAAGATCAGACTGTTACTGATTTAGCAATTACTGAAAACAAAAAAAAAAAGTTAGCTAATAGTTACTGGGAATAATGATAAACATGCGTTTTTATCAGAATATTTAGTGCAATTTATTATGGTAATGAGTACAGACTTCTTTCCTCATCAAATGTAGGCACAGTAGTAATTTCAAAGACTGAGTCAGAAGATCTGATTCCTAATTTTAAATATTTCCAACACATCTTCTAGTATAGATTGGTTTTGTTCCTCCATAACTTGTGTTCTTACTAATTCAGCCCTGGAATCATATGTAAGTTAATGTCTAGACAAATTCACAAGAAACCTCACTCAATGACTCCTGGCCATGGTCCAGCTCTGGACCTCCTAACAACAGTGTATACCAACGCTCCAGTTGCAGAAAATAAGTACTAACACAAACAACAAAAACCATCACCAGAACATATTCTGAGCTACTTAGTTCTGATCAACATCACCAAAACTGTTTCTCAAAGACAAAACAGAAGATCATCATCATACTTGTATCCTGGTTTTCCTAACGGCCACATTTCCAGAAGGTTCATTCAACAAAATTCTGTATTTCTTGTTTCAAACATCCAAGTTACATATCCTGATCATCCAAGAGTCCTTTATTTAACCATCATAACACCACCAGAAGTGGATATACAACTTCCACTTTTGTTCTTATCCACTGCATCTTCATTTCTAGTATTTGGAAATTAGGTAAGACAACAGCTTTAAACAGAATAACATGAGAATCTTCAGCATTTTACACGGTGCCAAATCCCAGAAGACTGCTTTCTTCATTTATTCTACCTCTTATTTAATAGTGGATGGAATCAAATTACCATACTTTAATTCAGTACAAGTAATGATAAACTGATCATAATGATGCCGCTTGAACTATGTAACATATAAAAACAAGGAGCAGCAAATGTTTCTCAATTGTATTATTTAATAAGACTTCAGTCTTCTGTGATGTGAAACTTTGTTATTTTTGTATGTGGTTTATTTTATGATGCTGTCAGTATCTCAGAGAATATGGTATAAAATCAAAGGATAATTGGTGAATAACAAATTGCAGAAGATTTTAAAGATAACACCCATGACTCAATGGAAGTATTAACCCAGCATTTTGGAGGGACTGAAAAAAAGAACCTAAAATCTCGGTTAGGATGACTAGTGTCCCAGATAAGAATCAAACTGCAAACTTCCTGAACAGAAGTCTCAAGAATTACCATTACAGCAACCTACTTGGTGGTTTGATACACCAGTTACTGATGTTTTTGAAGAACATGCTGCCTCCATCTTTAGGGTAAATGACCTGAAGCTAGAGGCACCAGTTTTCCTCCAAGACCTTGGTAACCTACCATCTACCAAACCACATGATGGTATCATATCCCAGAAGATCACGGAGATAGTATTCACTGCAGTGAGAACCTGAAATCTTATGTATTACTTAACAGTCTCCATAAAAACAGTTTGAGGGCAGAAGCATACACAGTGACAGCTGCACTCATATGTTCAAATCACATTTTAGTAAAGAACAGTGAACATCCATTTAAAACACCACTGATATTATGAATATCATTAATACTTATGTTTCTCATATGTGATACTTATTCTGGAATCTGCAAAACTATCTCTGCATTACAGTATGAGATTATACACACATAAACCTCAATCAACATGTTTTAGTTACATTTGTGCATGGACTGCCAAAATGCAACACTAATAAAGACTCCATGCAGTGGTATTTACACATTCAAAGTGCACTTGGGAGAATAAAGTGGTCCTACAGATTCCAACAATAGGAAATAGTATCTCATAAACTTATTTACTTCTTTCAAAATGTGAACCATCACAAAACAAACAGATGGGCTATCACTGAATTATGATGTACCAACTTCAAGGGTTAAGCAGCATTGTATTGGAAACAATGGAGTGGATGGTGATACATTTCAAAGGGAAATCACGAAAATCCCTGAAAAACTTGCCTCAGTGCAGTCTGATGGCCATAAATCCCACATGGATCGACTGGAAATTGAACTGGGATCTAAGGAGTGAGCTGCCTGTGCCCTAGCTACAAGAGCCCTGCACAGCCTTTGCAGAGCAGACTGGAGGAAAAGAGAGATCTAATTCCAATTATGAGATTACATTTTACAGGTAGTAAAAAAATGTAAAGTTATCCTTGTGCTTAACTAATTAAGAACTATGTCATGAAGACATATGGGGGAGTGGGTGTACAAGTGCACACTGAAATTATCACTTTATGTTCTGAAATTATGATGCAGTACTTTCATGTACACCACACAATCTGTTCTGTAGTGTTCTGCACACATAACTAAAATGTAAATAAAAATTGACCTTAGACACAGGAGTCATTTTGATATAAGCACAATACTTAAAATATAATTTTTACTTCTTTGTCACATACAGCAAATAAATACAGTGCCATGTACCACAATAATACCGGTTCCTTTGCATTACTAAACAATTTAAATTCATCTTTTTCTTCTTCACTCTGTTTAAAGAACATGACATCAACTTTCAAATGCAATCATAATAGAAATTTGTATGCATAAACAATTTAAATTCTCATTTTCCTACCACAATTGAAGCAAATTACACCAGCAAACATAATCATCACTTTTATGGATGGATTTCCTACTACCTCTTCATGATCATAACTCTAAATAAACTTCCTTGTAAAGGAGTTAAATTGCTCATATTCCGTTGTGTACTAAACTTTCTACATAGTCGGTGGAAAATTATATTCACACAATCTAATGTAAAATAATCTACAGAAATAAGTAAATTCAGTTTATTCAAATAACATAACAAAATTATTTAATTAATGAAGAGCTATAGTCCAGTGAAAGTCAAGCGACATTATGGTGGAACATGTCACCACCACCTTCAGGGATTAAGAGTAAAGCCAAGAAATGAAACCAGGCAGCAAGCAGAACAATACTCTTTCTTAGCTTAACTCTTCAATTCCGAAGATGGGGGCGACAAGTTCCTCCATAACATCAGCTTTCAGAAAACAACATGCATTATACCCCATAAGACACCTGTGAGAACTTGAAGTCCTACACTATTAATGTTTATTCCACATGTCAACAGCCCTTGCTCATTTTCAAGTTAAATTAAAACTTTCAGGAGAGGAAAAAAAAAGGGACCCTGTTAACATTATGTTTTAAAGAGTGCTACTGGAGACATACTGAACCTGCTACTCTCCATAACAACTGCCTGAGTTTCTGCCTCAGCACCAACTTACCAAATGCAAGCTAACAACCAGACCATAAATATATCAAGTATAATCACCTAAGCAAATAACAACAAACGTTTAAACAACAGAAAATAATCAATGAAGTAGATCAGATATCACAAAAAAATATTTTACTCACAGACAAGAGTCGACCAACTGGTTGCTACTCGTCATAGCGACCTTCATCGATGTCTGATCAGGCTTGTGATCGATGGGGCCATTCAAACCCCATTCGAGCTGCTCCTCCTGGAAATATTAAGAGCCTTCTGAAAATGACTTTTAATATACAAGGGTTGGATAAAAAGTAGTGGCAACACTTCTGTAACATGAAAGATGTGCATCAGGTGGCACTAGCACCGTCCGTAGCAAATAGCAGAAGTTCAGTTGAAGTACTCCGGTTGTGTTTCATTGAGTTGCATGTGCAGCGTCTTGAAGTGCAGGAGCCCAGTTCAAGCACCCTAACAACATGTTTACGAAACAAGAACAACGCTCCTGGATAAAAATTGAAGTTGCATGAGGTCGCAGTGCATAAAACTTTTATCAGGGACTGCGAAAAGCATGTGGTGATACTGCTTTGTCATATCGCACAGTGGCATGATGGGTGAAATTTTTCCATGAAGGGAGGGATGTCATTCAGGACAGCCATCATTCAGGACAACCCCATGTTAACAACCACACAATTCAGCTTCTTGCTTCTTTGCTGGATGTCGATCGTCAATCTGCGCGAGAGTTAGCTGCTGAGGTAGGCGTATGTCACAAAACCATGCTCCACATTCTGCATGATATTCTTGGATACCGCAAAACTGCAGCTCACTGGGTACCCCATACAATGTTCGACGTGCAACAATGGCAACGTTATGCTGTTGTATATGCGTTATTGTTGTATAAGAACTATTTCATTTGGTAAAGGTATTGTATACGCTATGTTACTTCATTTGCATTTACTCTTAATATGTTATTTCATTAGCATTTAATTTTAATAGAAATGTAACAGAAATGGTAGCGACACAGGAGGATGAAAGTATGCAGTCGAGATAACCAAGGGGGTCAGACGCGTGACCTCCGTCTCACGCAGCTGTGGCTGCTAAAAAGCACGTAACATAGGGTACAGGGAGAGAAGCCCACACAAAAAAGAGGCCAGACATAAGCAAGCAAACTAAGAGAGCCCTGCTCTGAAATATTCCTTACGACTGGTGTGTTATTAAAACAAAGAATGTAGACAGTCTGATGCAGACGGAGCGAGAGACTAGTCGTTGACCGAGATAGCGGCTAGGTAGAGCCAAGACAGCCTTCCCTCCCTGGAACCCTAGCTATCAGTCCTCAGGTGTAGCGTACATGTGAAATCTACAGAAATTAGTTAATAAACTCAATTTGTTGATTACACCACTCTTGTCGGACCAAACGATCCTCCTCTGTCAACCCACATACCCAGCGATTTCCACGCGCGCCCCAGCCTAGGGAGCACCAGACCTAGACGTGACTAGTGCGTCGGTAACATCCACGATACGCCAGCGCCGGGCATCCAGCGAGGAACTTCGGGATACAACAATGCAATTGCACATGACTTGTTGGACCGGTACCAGAGGGAAGGTGACGACTTCCTTGGAAGGACTGTCACTCTGGACGAAACTTGGGCTCACTCATATGAACCGCACTTGAAGCGACAATCAAATGAATGGAAGCATCCTGGCTCTCCTCGTCCAAAGTAAGTGCGCCCTACACAGAGTAATGTGAAGGCAATGTTCACTGTGGCATATGACACTGATGGAGTGATACTGCACCACACCATACCTCAACAACAGACAGTAAACACTGTCTACTACTGCAATTTCCTGCGTGTTCATCTTCGTCCAGCACTTAGAAGAAAGCAATGACACTTGTTGGCAACGAACCCCATCATCCTTCATGACAATGCAAGGGCTCATACTGCTGACACTATCAAGGATCTCCTTCGCCGCTGGCGATGGGAGATAATGCAACATCCATCATAGTCACCTGATATGACTCCGTGCGATTATGATCTCAGCCAAAATGAAAAAACCACTGCAAGGGACACATTACGACACAAGAGAGGAGATTATTCGTGCTGTAGGGCGGTCTCTGCTGGACATCAACAGAAGTGGAGGCACTGATGGTGTATGACACCTTCCACAAATTTGGCAGAAGTTGGTACACATGGGGTGTGATTATATTGAAGGAATGTGTGTTTACATCAGGTAATAAAGGCATTTCAGAACTATAGAGGTGTTGCCACTACTATTTATCCGACCTATGTATGAAGTATAAGGAAAAAACTGCAATTATAATTTGTCTCCTTCAAGTCATCATTCCATACACAGTCTAATCCTTAATCAACTCAAGAGACACAATTCACTTTTTCTTTTATTTCTACGTGTAATAAACTTGTACACAGACCCCTCAAAACATGGAAAACTCCCATACATTGTACCGTTTGGAGATGCAACTCTCAAAAAGGCCTCAAATTTAACATTATATTCATGGACTTCAGTCCAGGTCAATTTCGTTCACTATTTTTTCTTTATAAGAAGACCATTTTGACCACGGCAACAATGAGCAGGTAACCATCAGATATTTTCATAGTACTCACGGTGATAAAGTGTGTTCTGCACATCACAAAAACGCTGCGTGTCCAAAAACCTAAAGATGTTAAATGTAAGAAATCACCATGAACAATGAAAATTGTTCCTCAAAATAGTGTAAATATTTTGCTTCTCTCAAATGGAATGTCATTGAAAATATGATTACTATAAAAAATGTTCCACTTGAAGAGACATAATTAGGAAAAATTACCGATTTTTCAATTTAAAAAGTTGCCATAGGTATGTCCAACAAATGTATACATCAGATATATAAACTACCCCCTTACTCACAACTATGCGGCACTGAAAAAATAATAAAGGAACGTTCCTCTGGGTGAACTATCTTTGGAAAAGTAACTGATTTTTTTTTTATTCCCACACAGGAACAGTATGTCCAAAAATATGACACACAGACTTCCAAATATTTGTGACATCATAATTTCACCTTTATGTCATTTAGAAAGGTTCCGATCTATATGAAACATGGGACACTGGTGCAATTCTTGAAGCTGCTGCTGAGAAAAATCTGATAAAGGAAAGTTTACAACATTATGGTGAGATATAGGTTTATTTTTATTTAAGATAATCTGACTAAAGGTTCAAGCAGTTTGTGTCCTGACAGGATATTTTATTATGGGAATAAAATTTTTTTATGGATTACCCAGAAGAATTATGCCCTGAGATCAAGAAATTAGAAACATCAAATATAACCCACCTACCAAGAGTAATCAGAGCAAGCAGGCGGAAAGGTGGTGGCAAGCAAAGCTTTATTTGCTGCCAGTTTCTTGCTGGCTACTTGCTTGGTAGAATGTTAACCCAAAACACTGGTGAAATTCTACTAGACTCCACAGTGTTACATCCCAAAAGACAGCACCCTTCATCGTCACCACTGTCAGAACATCCAGCTGAACACAGAATATTATAAACAGTATAATCACCTTGGGTTTTCCTGTTTTAAGAAGACCATCAACATTAGGATCATCAAAGGATGATGAGATCACAAAAGGTGCATGGTTATCCCAACTACTTGGCATGGTGAGCTGGAATATGACTTATCACCCTTGGCCCCTGTAATAAATATTCAGAAAGTTAAGAAGAAATAAAATAAAATGTTTATGCCAGTATGGGAGAATTTCTTTGCACATTTATTTATGGTTTATTTAACCACACTGCCAATTACTCAAGACTACATAGCATAAATTAAAGGCATATTAGTGAATGCAAAATTGGGAGGAATAGGAAAGGACTTGGCACAACCTAATTTGAGGTACTATTAAAGTACATAATGAGAAAGGTTAAGAAAAATAACAAAAAAAAAACACAAGAGGATAAAAGCTATCTGCGCCAAGTTCTGAACATGAGACCTCCAAATTCAATGCTGCCCACTGTCTGCATAAGAAAGACACATTTCAGAAGCTAGCTCTGTTTGCATCTTCATGAAGGAAAGGGTACTTACTTCTGTGGGGCCTGTGACATACACATATCACTGTTCTTGGTGATAAGGAGAAGCATTTTAATGTTAGCTTAGGACATAAATTGGAGAGGAAAGGCACAATATATGGAATACCATTTGTGTACTGCAGAAAAATAAGCACTTCTTTGTTAAGACTTAAATTTTAAAAATCTTGGTGTGCTACAAATTAAGCACAACAGTCCTGTTTATAAAATACTTGATGTACATGCATTATTGTCCAAGGAATAATAAAGTACCTAGTAAGGGATACTGCTATGAATAAGAATATATTCCTGCTTTGCAAAGCCTGAAATGACAAAGAGTACTTGTATACGTGTATAGTGCATAAGGAAGAATTTTCAGTAACATGCCATATGTGTGATACGTATACCTGACAAAGGTGAAGCCTATTCATAGGAGACAAACACATCCACTTGTCAGAGAGGATGTTACATATGGACTATGACCACAAAGGTTCAGCTGAAAAATGAAACCTCTGGTTGTGCACCTCAACAGGCTTGGCGGTAAACTGCCAGTAATAAAGTAACTGAAACCTGATTGACACCAAGAAGACTGTTCAACTGACCATTAGTTGTAACACGACTTTTGACTTTGACTCAGTTAGTTGCAGTGGAAAGAGAAGGGGCAATGAGTGAGTTGCGAGTCAACAGTTGTGGACCAGCTATGAGATGGCAGGCAGCCAGCCAGCAACAACACAGGCAGGAGAGTTGCGGCATTTACATTACTGGGAACTGTTTCCTAGCAATGGCTAGTTAAGACAAACTGAGAAGACGGTGTGTGCTGTAGTGAGGAGTCGTGTGGGTGAATTAGCAACAGCACTGTAATTACTTCTAGTTATGATTTGTAAGTGTTCAATATATCCAATTATAGATCCAAATCCCACGTCTAGTCTGTAATATGACAATATCTTATATCTATTTTTCAAAACTTCTACCGAATGTACACAACACAATGAAACACTATACAATGCAACAGCTCTAATCACTTGCCTTTCCATTTTTTATTGTTGGTGGGGTGAGACTTGAGTCCACTTGGTACTGCGGCCACTACTGGCCTATTATAGCAGTGGAGCAACTGGTGGAATGAAGCCTGACAGAGGAAACCAAAGTACTAGGAGAAACCCTGCCCAGTGCCACTTTGTCCACCATAAATCTCACGTGACAAGACCCGGGATCAAACACGGGCCACTGCGGTGGGAAAACTGCATCTAACCGCTTGAGCTTTGGTGAGGCCTTTCACTTTCCTTTATTACATTTTGATAAATAATCATTTTAATTTTATGATATACACTCATCCGCTGTAATGAACAGCTTGGCATGAAGTAGCTCCATGGAGCCAAATTCTTCTTCAATAGCCAACAGTTGCTTGGCAATCCAAAAAATTACCAATCATTTTATGTAACCCAAAGGTTCATTACCACGTATACAAGAGCCCACCTCTGGTCTCTACAGTAAGCCAATGAACATATTCCCACTTAAACCTCCACAACAATAAATGTTTAAAATAAATTTTAGTTGTCCTCTGGCCATTCTCATAAGCTGATCAGCATCGTACAGAAAACACTCACTCTCTTAATGTTAAAAGAAAATGTCAGTACAGTTTGTAAAAGAAATGTGTTACAAAAGCAGACACCTCTGAAAATAAAACTGAACATTTAAATTAATAGCAACAATTCTATAATTTACTATGTAAATATGTCCATCAATCATAACAATTTTATACTTTTCACACTCCACCCCTCAAAAATAAACACACATGTGCACCCATTAACAACAACAATGTACACTCATGTAACATCCTCAACCCCATGAAGGACAAAAAGTTCGAAAATACATTTTATATATGTATTTGTCTCTGTGGGAACTCAACGATTGCCACATATTCATTGTCACGAAAGTATGTGTTCCAATTCTTGCCTTGTGCAGCAATACACATACTATAACACGTCATAATATGTATATACACGCATAATTCGCCCTACACCATTCCATCTCAAAACCCCCACCCATATACAGTGTGTCCCAAAAAAATGTACTCACTCTTTGATGGGGCCACGCATTTAAGACATGTTTGGTGATGCAGAGATTTAATTCCAACAAGATGGAGCACCTCCCAACAACCATCGTGAAGTAAGGGCCTATCTCAATACAACTTTGCTGGACAGATGGATTGGGCAAAGAGGTAGTGCTGAATACCCTGCACCTTCACCGGACCTCACACCCATGGACTTCTTTTTATGGGGATACCTCAAAGATAAAGTTTATGCCGCAAAACCAGCAACAGTCGATGAGTTGAAAGAGGAAACTGAAAGACAATGTCTTCAAATTCCAAATGAAATGCTTCATACAGTTCGTGATTCCATTGTTCCGCATTACCACATCTGGACAATGATGGTCACCAGTTTGAACATTTGCGAAAACGCATGGTGCAGTAGACTTGTTTTCTTCAATTTAAATCATTAACCTTATATTTATTTTAAAGAACATTGCATTTGGTGTCATTAAAGGGGCAAGCACATTTCTTGGGACACCCTGTATATAAAAAGAATGATTAACTTAACTAATTTTAGACATGTATTTCAATATATTTAAACACTGTAATTCTATGTAAAAGCTTTTATACAACATGACTATTTAGCAACAGATCCATTGTGAGAGAGTCTAGTAATGAATGTGAATGCATTTTACTGTTGCATGTGGTAGTTGGTTGAGGCACTATGCTACAAGTGGGAAGGTCGTGGGAATGAATCCTGATGAGGCAGATTTTCTTCAATTTACCTAATCCTTCCAGCCGCACTATTGCCCTGGGGTTGACTCAGCCTCTAACAGAAATGAGTACCAGGAATATTCTTGGGGGTAAAGGGCAGACGGCACGTAACACAGACAACCTTACCGCCATCTATGAGCCAATTGTCTTGAAAATGTGGGAACCTCAACATCTCACAACCCTATGGGCCTCCACAGCCTGTTACAGGGATACCTTTAGTTACATTTTTTTAACACCAAATGATGGTCTTAGATGACTGAAACATGTGGCAAAATAACATCTTAATAAAGTAACTGATTTTATCAACAATTTGAGTCTATTTGTTATTTATTAAAAGTATAAAATTGCTGTGACAAACTTTAACTGATGCAAGTAAAGAGGTTGGTCTAGAAGTAAACACTGAGAAAACTATGTATACGTTGCTGTCTTGTCACCAAAATGCATGGCAAAATCATGATATAAAGATGGGAAAGAGTTGTTTGAAAATGTGGCACAATTCAGATATTTGGGAACAACGATAACAGATTGAAACCTGATTCGGGAGGAAATTAAGTGGAGATTGAACTCGGGTAATGCTTGCTACCATTCAGTCAAGAACCTTCCGTCTTCTCATCTGCTGTCTAAAAACATAAAAATTAGAAAATACAAAACTATAATTTTGCCTGTGGTTCTGTATGGGTCTGAGACTTGGTCTCTGACATTAAGGGAAGAACACAGACTGAGGTTGTTTGAGAACAGGGTGTTGAGGAGAATATTTGGACTGAAGAGAGATGAAGTGACAGGAGGTTGGAGAAAACTGCATAATGAGGAGCTTCATAACTTGTACACTTCCAGGTATAATTAGAATGATTAAGTCAAGGAGGATGAGGTGGGCAGGGCATGTAGCACGAATATGGAAGACGAAGAATGCATATAGGATATTGGTGGGAAGGCCAGAAGGAAAGAGACCACTGGGAAGACCAAGGCATAGGGGGGTGGACAATATTAAAATGGATCTTAGAGAGATAGGGTGGGATGGTACTGATTGAATTGATTTGCCTCAGGATAGGGACCAGTGGAGGGCTCTTGTGAACATGGTACTGAACCTTCAGGTTCCATAAAATGCTGGGAAATTCTTGACTAGCTGCAGAATTGGCAGCTCCATGAGTAAGTAAAGTAAGTAATAAAATTGTTGTGATTGACGGGCATATTTACGCAACACTGACACATAACAGGATGCAAAACATATTAATGAATTCTATAATTGGTATTTTCAGTACCTTAACCGGCAAACATAAAAATTAATTTGTTCCTTTGTATATTTAAAGCTTTCTCAACCTCACAGGTTACACAGCTTGAGCACTCAGGCACAACTGGTGACAAGAAGTTCTGTAGCTTCAGGTGCATATTTTTCTGCACACCAAACAGTCATGTACAAACAGAAGAGATATTCAGGAACATAACCACAGTAGGATACATGTCTCTTGAAATTTGAGGCTTGGCAGCTGAGTCTGTACTTGCGAATAAGAGACGTGCCGTGCTGCATGGTTCAAGTCCACCACTGCAAGTGTCAAAAAAAAAATGCTTATGCGAAGGGCAACATTTTCTGAGTGTACGGGATCAAATCCTAAATTTCCAACCCAAGCGGTTAGCATTTTAGGACTCTTCATTTTCCTTGTTATCATTATTTATATTTACCTGAAACAGTCGCAGTTTTCATGCCACTTCTTGAACAATATTGTTACATGTACCATGAAAATGGAACAAACAACGCAAAAAATATGGGAAATGATGAACGAAGCAGGAGCTCTCATAAGTAGAAATCCAAAAGAGGCACAAGCCCACAATG